TATATTACTATAATTTATGCTGGAATTCCCCATTAATAACACTTCTCCTTTTACTGTGAAGTCACCATTTTGAATGTAACAGATTTGATGGGGTCTCAGCTTATTTTCAACAAAATCAACAAAACTTAATCTTTCGCATACAACTATAATCAAAAGATGTAAATAATACATGAAAGTCAACCTGAAATCAAAACTGACATTTTGTTTTAACTTGTTACTTAATGTTCCTGGTCTTAAGCACAATTCATCATGTCATACCATTTACTAACTAAAATCCCTGTTTTCCTGTAATCTTCCATTAAAAGTAAATGACTGTTGCTTCTTCTAAACATCTTCTGACTTTTGACATCACTGTGCAGCAGCAGGTGTAGAAAAACGATAATGTCAGTAATCCGATCAACACGTTTACATGCTCTTGAGTAATCAGATAATGGGAAACTCCAGGCCTACATGAGTCAGACAGTAATCAGATTTCTGCTTTGCAAGAAGCCAATAAACTCACAGAAGAAGACGCGACGTAAACGTAATGTAAAACTCAAACTTCATGCCGCCTTTTTTTTAAAACATCAACCCACTTTACCTGAAAATATAAACATACATCATTTAGAAGATGAAGAAAATTTAAGTCCTTTATTTCGCGCTTGGTTTCAGCGTCGTTCCAAAAGTGTTTTGATGCGTCTCGCGGCGACGCTGCTTGCTTATATCTGGTAACAGTGTCTGATTTTGCGAATGCGCAGACTGAGAAATCCGAAAGAAATCAGAGTAAGAGCTCACATGCACTGAGAAATCCGATTACTGAGCTAAAATCCAGCTCACTTTATCGGATGTCTTAATCAGATTTCTAGATTGGAGTATGGTGTTTACATGACCATTTGAATAATCAGATAACTTCAGAAATCCGATCATGATCGGATTATTGAGTGCATGTAAGCGCCCTCATTGAGAGAAAAAAGCTCCGATAGCTCAGAGACCCTCCGTATCATGTATTATCCAGAAAAAACATCACAGTACGGAAGGAAAATGCACAGAATTTCTAATTTACATTAAGTCACCTAAATGTCTTTTACAGTTTTACAGCTTCTTCTTTAGATTGTTCACTGGGAGTCTGTCGTTCGATCGCCCATTATCCAGGCTGCAGTTTGACATTTTTTCATGCCTTTAAGTGAATGGTAAAGAATGTTTGCATGGCAGTTACATCAAACCGTCATCTCTTAATTCCATGTGTTGATGTGTGTGCAGCAAGCAGGAAGCTCAATTACTGCCTTGGCCTGGGCTGGGAACATAGCGTACCCATACCACAGAGCCATACATCACAAACATACACATTCTGAGATGCAGACAGTGATCTTTGCTGAGGCACAGGGCAAGTGCTCCAGTCTTACATAATTACCTTCTGTCCCTGTGCCACCTCAGACCCCTAGGCTGCTGTTAAGTAGCAGTGGGGCCTCAACCCAAACCATGAGGGTAATATAAGATCCTACACATGTGTGCCATATGAGAGGCCAGGGCTGGCTGGCGTAGAAGAAGGAATGACCAACAGTTTTGTCATGTAAAACTGGACATCATTTACATGCAGGAAAACCCCTGATCTACAAAGAACGTTTGCCAAGTTAACATAAAATGTAAAATGTGCCGTACCTACATTTGGCACAGACTCCCCGAAAATGTTAAATTCAGCAAATAAACAGTAATTGTGCATTAAAGTGTGCAGAAGTGTGTCTCTGTAGAGGATGTGTAACTTATTTTTACTCAGAAGATCAACAAAACATGTAATTTGGGTGCCCAAACTTTTGCATATGACTGTGTATTTATGACATCTACTTGTTTAGTAAGCTGCCCTTATTGAGAAATGTCTAGTCTTGTTATCTTGTTATCTCAAGATAACAAAAGTTGTAATCTTAAGATAACGAATTAATTATCTTGTTATTTCAATATAGCAAAATTGTTATCTTGAAATAATGAGTTACTTATCTTGTTATCTCAAGATAACAAAATTGTTATCTTGAAATAACGACTTACTTGTCTTGTGATCTCAAGAAGAAAATTATAGCAACAGCTCTTTTTTGTTTTAAATAAACATTAAATAAACCTGAATAATTATTATATAGTGACTCGTGACATTCATTGGAGGCCAAATTCTAAACAATTAAGTCCTCTATATTGGCTCTTCAACAAAACAGTAGTTTACCTAAGGATTTGCATATGTAAATTGTAGCTGACAATTAATTGGCATGTAAATTGCAATAAACAATTGAATTGCCTTTTTTGTTCATTGTATACAGCTATTAAAGTATTTTGGAAGTCCGGAGAGGCCATGAGCTGTTGGTATAATTTTCTGGATTGTTATCTTGAGATAACAAGATAAGTAACTCATTATCTCAAAATAACAACTTTATTATCTTGAGATCACAAGATAATTAACTGGTAGAGAAGCCATGAGGTAGTTACAATTTTCTGGTTTGTTATTTTGAGATAACGATTTAATGAGCTTGTTATCTCAAGATAACAAAATTGTTATCTTGAAATACTGAGTTACTTATCTTGTTACCTAAAGCATACAAACATAACAATAATAATAATAATAATAATAATAATAATAAACTTCTGTTTGCAAACTACTTATTTAGTGAAGGGCCCTTAAAGAAGACTTTATTATCTAGAAGGTGGCCTGGCTTGCAGTGAATATGATGGAGCTTCTTTCATGCTATAGTAATTATACAATGATGTATAGTATACACACACACATACACACACACACACACACACATACACACACACACACACACACACACACATATACACACGCACACACACACATACACACACATACGCACATATGCACACACACGCACACACGCACAAACACACACACACACACGCACACACACACACACACACATATATATATAAATATGAGTCATTCCTTCCTGTTCTTTTCCATGTCCTGACCTCTCAGAACACTTTCATGCACAGCTCCTAAGGTAATGGGTATGTATAATTGCTCAGATCCAATTTTATTGCAACATTTGACATCCTGGATCCTGCACTGCAGTTCCGCATCACATCTCAGTCCAAATGCACATTGCGGATCTGGTATGTCTGTGAAATACCTGCATTTCTAGTTGCAGCTACATCTGTCACAGTTACTATATAATCACTTGACTGCAATTATTGCAGCTGACCACAGCTGTGTTCTACAGTCGTTAGCTTTTATAGTCATATGCTTACATTGCAACAAACAGAATATGAATTGAGTGCTTTTTTATTCTTTGGGCTGATGAAAATGCACGTCAAAAAATATTTAATTTATTGAGACACCTCATGGGTCTTACAAAAAAATCAAACTTTGACACGCACTATAACTCCTTCAGAGGGCAGCAATGAGTATTGTTTGTTTGTTTGATGTTTGTTCTTAACACCTTCAGAGGGCAGCAGTGAGTAATGTTTGTTTGTTTGATGTTTGTTAGTAACACCTTCAGAGGGCAGCAGTGAGTAATGTTTGTTTGTTTGATGTTTGTTAGTAACACCTTTAGAGGGCAGCAGTGAGTAATGTTTGTTTGTTTGATGTTTGTTAGTAACACCTTCAGAGGGCAGCAGTGAGTAATGTTTGTTTGTTTGATATTTGTTAGTAACACCTTTAGAGGGCAGCGGTGAGTAATGTTTGTTTGTTTGATGTTTGTTAGTAACACTTTTAGAGGGCAGCAGTGAGTAATGTTTGTTTGTTAGTAACACCTTCAGAGGGCAGCGGTGAGTAATGTTTGTTTGTTTGATGTTTGTTAGTAACACTTTTAGAGGGCAGCAGTGAGTAATGTTTGTTTGTTAGTAACACCTTCAGAGGGCAGCGGTGAGTAATGTTTGTTTGTTTGATGTTTGTTAGTAACACTTTTAGAGGGCAGCAGTGAGTAATGTTTGTTTGTTAGTAACACCTTTAGAGGGCAGCAGTGAGTAATGTTTGTTTGTTTGATGTTTGTTAGTAACACCTTCAGAGGGCAGCAGTGAGTAATGTTTGTTTGTTTGATATTTGTTAGTAACACCTTCAGAGGGCAGCGGTGAGTAATGTTTGTTTGTTTGATGTTTGTTAGTAACACCTTTAGAGGGCGACGGTGAGTAATGTTTGTTTATTTGACATTTGTTTATAGCTTACTTGTTTACAATTTGGCCTCCAATAAATGAAAAACAAAAAAGAGCTGTTGCTATAATTTTCGTCTTGAGACAACAAGATAAGTAACTCGTTCTTTCAAGATAACAATTTTGTTATCTTGAGATAACAAGTAACTTGTCATTTCAAGATAACAATTTTGTTATCTTGAAATAACAAGATAAATAACTCGTTATCTCAAAATAACAACTTTGTTATCTTGAGATCATAAGATAATTAACTCATTATCTTAAGATAACAACTTTTGTTATCTTGAGATAAGATAATGAACTCGTTATCTCAAAATTACAAACCAGAAAATTGTTACTACCTCACGGCCTCTCTACCAGTTAATTATCTTGTGATCTCAAGATAGTAAAGTTGTTATTTTGAGATAACAAGATAAGTAACTCAGTATTTCAAGACAACAATTTTGTTATCTTGAAATAACAAGATAAATAACTCGTTATCTCAAAATAACAACTTTGTTATCTTGAGATGACAAGTTAATTAACTCGTTATCTCAAAATAACAAATCAGAAATTTGTAACTACCTCATGGCCTCTCTACCAGTTAATTATCTTGTGATCTCAAGATAACAAAGTTGTTATTTTGAGATAATGAGTTACTTATCTTGTTATCTCAAGATAACAATCCAGAAAATTATAGCAACATCTCATGGCCTCTCCGGACTTATATTTTTTCATAATATTGCCTAAGCCTGACTGAGACCCCCTGAATGAAGCCTCCTCTCGCTTCTCTTCGGCTGTAAGGCGGTGCTAAAAGTCCCCGCTGCAGTGTGAGGGAAAGGCGACCCCCTCAGGTATGATTGATAAAGGCCCGGCTGAGGCTGTGGTGGGCGGGGAGCTGAAACAGCTCGTGTCGGCGCAGCCTCCAACGTGACACACTGGAATAAGCATCTGAGGCGAGAAAGAGAGCGAGGGAGAGGGAAAGAGACGGTAACAGACCAGCAGCCCAGCACAAAGCTCGTGTTTTGGACGCGACAGTGCGCTGAGATTTGATTGACCCCTCGCTGCTTTTTTCTGCAGAGGGCTCTGTTCGGGATTTACAGGCTCGCCGACGCGACTGGACTGAACGGAGACGAGCTGCGGCGGATATCGCTGTGTTTCTCGTTGCATTGTTCAGGCGAAGGCGATATCGATCGACTGCGAAAGCGAACTTGGGAGCCGAGCGAACCTGAGGTCGGTCGGTGGACTTGTAAACATTGGGCTCGTGAGGAGCGCTGGACAGCTTTTTTGTCCAGTTAAAACCTCTTGCAGGGCTGAGTTGCTGGCGTTGAACGTCCCTTTCTGCAGAAGGAGCTCCTTAACTGGCGATAGGTTAACATGGACTCGGTTATTTATGAATTGTCGGTACTGTGATAGCTCGGTTAGCCAGCGTAGCTCACCGGATTTAACGTTAACGTTCGTTTTTTCCCAACCACGTCAGTTCTGACCAACTGCTGCTGTTTCATCGGGGCACAAGAATGGATAAAATGATACGAAAGGTAACGTTAAACCTGTTTTTTTCTACTCAGGTCTTCCTCCACATCACTAACTGCTAGCCGTGTTGTGATTCAGCAAGCCGAGTTTAACGTTAACGGTAGTTCAGTCGCGGAGAGCAGCTGGTGGTGGCACTGACTGACACAGCGGTGCTGCTGCTGCTGTGTTTTGGTGCGACCGTTGCTGGCTAAGCGAAAACATTTTTAAACATAACGTCATTTATCCATTTTTCGCCACCACTTTCTTCCTTTTCCCCTCTTTCACTCTCGCGTACACCTTTTTGTTCACCACTTTCAACACGAGGCTGGACTCGTCTTCCTTATTCGCCAGCTTCTTCTCCGAATTTCCCCGTTCCACCTTAAATTGTGCAGCTGATGCGTTCTGGAGCCTCAGGCGCCAGAATGGAACTGCTGCAGCATTTAAGGTGGACCGGGAGAATTCGAACAAGACCTCAGCTTCGCACTTTCAGCTGCATTTTTAATATACCAGTGCTGATGTTTTCTGTTCATTACGACTAGTTACGCAGCTCCAGCGTGTTGTCAAACGTTTAACCGTTTATCTAGGCGATTCAGAACCAGTGATTTTTTTTTTTTTGTTTCTTCTAGCTAGCCGAGCCCAAAGCAAACCGGGCTAACTTATCTAGCCAAGCACACTTATCTGAGCCCCCCCACCCCCTCAACACACTTTCTCTTCACGTATGTGTGCTAACGGCTTTCACAAGGTCTCCCACCGGCACGGCACCTGTATCACTCACGGTCTTAACGTTAAGTTTTAAATGTGGTTGCTAATAGCAGACGTGCTAATGAATGGTTAGCTCGCTAGCGGACACGGCGGTTTGTAAGGCCGGTGCTCCGAAGCTCCTCATCCAGCTAACTTGCTAGCCAATGTCAGACTCCGAGGCAGTTGAATGTCGGTTCAGAGGCTGTAAATAAGTGTTTTATAATGTCTTTTTCTGGAGAAAAGGCTGCTAACATTCGAGTAGTGAGCTGACAAAGTTTGGCTAAGTACAGAACTTATGTTTAACGTTACTTTGTCTAACGGTTGCTGGCTAACGTTAATTCAGTGGTCCAACAGTTAAGTCAACTGTCTGGTCCGGTCCAGTTGCTTTGACTTAGACTCTTTAACAAAAGATGGTTCTTCAAGGGTGCTTGAGACAAGGGAATGGTTCTGTGTAGAACCTTGAGTTCCGTGTAGAAGCATTTCATGCTTAAATGGTGATACACTTATTCAGATGGATGGAGAAAGTGTCGTAAAACCTTTTTGAAAATGGTTCCATATAGTTAATATATCAAGCTTGTAACAGGAAAGAACCCTTTTTGGTGCTGGAACCATTGTCAGAAAGGTTTTGCATAAGCTGTCCAAAAAGTTTTAATCAGTCTGAACAAAGATTTCACAGTGCAGACAGCAATTTAAAGATGAAATGGTTCTCTGTAGAGCTCATGGAACCCTTCAGTGACCCAAATCACTGTTAACATTCAGACATGTGGCTAATTTAGTGTGTTTTAGGCTGGACCTGATATCCAGCAGTGACTGTGGTCACTTGCCTAGCATCTAGTAAATTGTCAGCTTTTACAATGCATGCTGGTGATTTTTGGCATGTGCAAGTTCCTGTCTAGTGTCACATACATAGCTGTTTTCTGGCTTGCTTAACCAGTAAGTTAACCTCATGTGGTCAGTCTTATTAAAGCTGCCCACAAGCAGCAAATTGGCTTGGTAAGCCCACTGAGATCAGCGTCCCTCAATCTGTTCTTGCTATCTCGCCCCCTACTGCCGCCACCTAGTCTTTTCTGTGAGGAAAGGCCTAGTCAGAGTATTAATTATTAATTTTAACTGTGACTTATTGATTCTTTTGAGAGTTTCTCTGGAGTGAAGATGTCCAAAAACAATGGCATGGAGTTCCTAACCCATCCGCCACCACTGAACATGAAGGGGTTGGGCTTGGACTCACTGGCGAAAAGCTGAGCATGGGGGTCCTTGCTAAGTCACCCCCTACTACTGCTGCTTAGTTGGCCTTTTCTGTGAGGAGGGGCCTAGTTATAGTATAAGTATTAATGCTGATTTCAAGAAGAATGACATGGGGGGACAAATTCTGCCTTATTTGGTCTCACTTATGTTAAAAGCCTGTCACAAGTCATTTGGCTGGCAGGTGATGTTTAGGCTTGGTCTGTGAACATAAACTCCTGAAAGGGTCGTGAGTGAACCATCTGTGTATGGGTTCGTAATTTATGGCTTTTGAAATTTTGACGAACTAGCAAACAAATCCAGGTCATTGAAACTTATTTCCCCTTTCCTCTTCCTTTCATGCAGCTGCATGCCAACCCACTGAATTGTTTGTGGCTATGACTTGGAGGTCAGCACTGACAAAGACGGTCTAAATTTGGGCATGCAATTAAACTGTTCTCTTCTTGTGTTCTCTTGCAGTGAGTCTGGACCTGGGGTCGGGTTTCGCAGCCAGGTTGCCTGTTCTCTGTGACGATCGAAAGTGCAAACAGGCTCTAGCCCGTCCTTCCTTTGGTTCCTTATGCTCAATGAGGACTCTTCCCGGGTCACTGCAGGATGGATGGTGTGGATTTGACGGTCCTTGTCTGTCACCATCAGCGATTGCTCCTCTGTGACTGCGTCTTGTTCTTTTACATTTATAAAAGAACGCCCCCTCTCCTGAGCTCAGACCATAAATACTGTAACAGTAACTGTTTATAAGGAACACCCAAGGAGGGGGCTCTCCCACAAACTCTTGAGGCTCTTAGGGGCTTTCAATTTGTGCACCCCTTTATCGCCCCCTCGGTCTGTTTGTGGAGAAATTCTTCACAGCAGAAGCGTAAGTTTACATTTGGATTTATTCACCGTAATTTATTTATTCTTTTGAGAGTTTGCAAATTTTTTTTGGTTCGCCTGGAGTGAAGATGTCCAAAAACAATGGCATGGAGTTCCTGGCCCCTCCTCCGCCAAAGAATGTGAACGGCTCGGGCTCAGACTCGCTGTTGGGCGAAAAGCTGGGCGCGGAGGTCCGGCAGCGGCGCCACACGATGGATAAAGATCTGAAGACGGCCGAGCACCGGTTCTTCAGGCGCAGCGTCATCTGCGATTCCAACGTAACTGCGCTCGACCTTCCTAGCAAAGCTTGTATCCCCACGTCCCCTCCGGACTGCGAGTCGTCCACGGCACCCTTGGGGCTGGGTTCCGCTCCCGGTGTAGCCGCTGAGGCCTGCTTGGCTGTAGCGGAGGCCGTGGTGGAAGAGCAGGCAGAAGATGCCAGTGAAGGAGGGAGCCTTGCTGGGATCGATGGGGTGGAGAAGCAAAGCCAGGACGCGAATGCAGGTCAGAGCGAACTCCCTGGCGCTGCCGTGGTGGCACCTGCTGTGGCACATGACCAGGAGCAAGAAGGTGGAGCGGTAGAGAAACGTGAGGAAGAGGAGGAGAAGGGGGCAGCGAAGGCCCGAGCAGAAGCGGAGCAGAGGGAGGCTGAAAAGAAGGTGCAGGAGGATGAGGAAGTGGAAACCAAAGCTGTAGGCACCTCTCCAGATGGCCGCTTCCTCAAGTTTGACATCGAAATCGGACGGGGCTCCTTCAAAACCGTCTACAAGGGCTTGGACACTGAGACAACTGTGGAAGTAGCGTGGTGTGAACTCCAGGTAAGGAGGAACCAATTCATTCATTGCACAGTTCGAAGCCTTTCTCAGTGGCTACAGTAAAGGCAGTCTCATTGAATGTTCGGCCCAAGTTATGTGGCCTCCTCTCAGTGTCCAATAATGCGGAAGCTGCAGTGCATTCAAAATAGGTGTGCAGTATTTAAAACTGCTGATTAAGACGAGATAGGTTTGCAGTGTTGGAACAGTAGTGGGTACCAAGGTTATAGCAGAAAGTCTTATCACCCTTGTTTCTGCTATTTTGTGGTTACAGTTCTCACAGTACCCTATGTAGGTCATTGAAGAGGAGCAATGGGGAGTGGAGAAGTTCAGTTGAGAGTTTTCTGGTCATATGACCAGCTTCTCAAAGGAGGCTTCAGAGCCTCGAGGCCCATCTCCTAAAAAGCCTCATACTTCGCAGCAAAGACGCTGATAACCAAATCATTCCAACCACAAGCCATTCTTGGTTTCAAGCTGATACTTGGGTTACATTAGGCCAAAGCCAGCTTATAAATAACACCTTGAGCAAATAAATGCAGATCTGACTCTGGTAGTTGGAGCAAATGAAACTCAGTTGGATCTCATTACTCACGGGCCCAACGGACGAGTGTTTTCCCCAAGCATCACAAGGCCCTCTCTTTGCATGTCCCAGTCTAGTTTTAATTCAATATATTCTTGCTCTTTCTATCTTTATTTCCTAGAGTGTTTGTGAGCTCCTCCTTTCCCTAAAAACTGTTTCTCCTGAGACGAGTTGCCTGGATATTGCAGTTTGAGCATTGACAGAATGAGCAAGGTTCTCTGTAGAGGGACGGCGCCAAATTTACAACATTTTTGAAGGGCACATAATCATGAAAAACTTAATTTGTCTCACTTTTTGAAATAAGAGTTTGATGTAAACGTTGTAAAAGATTCATTCTCTCCCGAATCCATACGTTGAAATTAAACTGCAAAAAGTTTTGATTTTGATTTCACTTTTTTCGTGATGTAACGAAAACCAATGCATTTACATATGTCTGCCTGTTAGGCCTACAGTAGTTTAGCCCCAGCCATTCACACTGAAGTTATAAGGAGTCTCTCAGCCCTGACAACTTTTTGAATCAGGCACAAAAGCAGCCAATCAGAACAGAGACCAAGTACATGTATCAGTCTTAAAGGCTCAATAACAACAACAGCCTGTTTAATTCTAAGGCAGGGGTATTTAATTACAATTCAGTAAGGTCCAGTTAGAGAAAATTTCCTCAAGCAAAGGTTTGGAAATTCATAATGTTTAACTTGCATTGTGACTCAGTGCCATATACTGTAGACTGAAGTAGCCTAGTAGGTATATCAACATCTGATCCCGTCGACAACTGAATGTCAAATCAAATAAAGTACAATTCAGTCATATTTCAACAACATTTATTGTCAGTTTTCTCTTTGTAGAGCAAACAGTGTGAAATAACTTCCCTCTGACTCACTTTCCTCTCCGACTGCTGTTTCTCGCCTCGTCCCTCCCCTGTGTGTGCGTCACTCACTCGAGTCTCGGTGCTCATCTTAATGCACAGATCTGATTGGCTGAGTAGCGTCACATGTGATATTTACAGCTCATGCAATTGGTCTGTGAGTCTCCCGGGCCGCTAAAGCTACCGTAAAAGCTGGAAAAGTTACGCTGATTAAAATGGGACCATCTGTCGAAATTAAATCATTCTCCATAGTTTATTGGTTATATGTCCAGGTCTGCATAGGACAGCGTCTGGGTTCGGACACGGACTGGGTCCGCCTATTAGTGACCTCTGCTCTAAGGGATAAAAAGAAGTTGGAAAATTGTCACGTGAAAATGAATTGTGACTGTTTTCGGTACATAAAAGCACACAGATGTAAAAAGTGGACCTCAGTGGAAAGGATAAAATGCAAGAAGAATGTCAGATATGGGCGCTTTAGTGCGTTTATTCAAATACTGCACTTAAACCAAGGGTTTAATACATGAAACACACCACACCCTGACTTAGTGTCCTACTTTAGTGCTTGTTGACGGTGAAATGAAAGTAGAGGAAATGGAGTTCGTCTTCGTCTCGATTTATAATGTTTATTCTGTTCAGAAATAAATCAAATAATTAATATGCAGTACACTGAAGTTTGCTGTCCGAGTTATAAAGCCCTGGTGGCTCTAACGGTCATCATGAGTGCATTAATAATATCCCTAAGGCACTACAGAGGTTACATAAACCTGAATAGTACACAAATAAAAGCCTTTAAGATGGTCACTCAGTGGTCACTGACATGCCGATGCTGACGTCATTGTGTTTAACCCTATAATGTGTGGGTGGGTGTGATGGCTGGGGGGGGAAGGGGTATCTAAAGACCTCTTGCTACGTGTGAGTGGGCACGCTCGCTCTTTGGGGGGTGGTGGTGGGGTTGCATTCTTAAATGGATCAGTCCTGTTTTCAGAGCAGGCCCTAAGTGACGCGGGGTCAGAGGGCAAGCGGGGCGCAACGAGGGGGTCTGGCCACTGTGAGCCAAAAGGCTGCGCCGACAAAGAGCGTGTGTAGAAAGTGGGGGAAGTGAAGAAGGAGGGAGGGGAGGAGAGAAGGAGGACTGGAGGAGTGTAGGGAGGCCTGGCTTGTGTCCGACCCCCTCCACACACATCCTTTCTATCCTTGAGCTGCTTTGTTTAGTGTTGGCTGGTAGGAAGCCCTGGAATGAACCTCATTTTAATTGGTCGGAGTTTTTTTTTATTATTTGGAAGGTAGAGATTATCTGGTCAGCATTGTTTGTAGGAAAACTTCTTTTTTTTCCACTCTTCACTGGCAAGTGAGGTGGTTTCCATGCTGGTCTGTTGTCAGGTGTCTTTTAGCTCATGCAGCAAATGGGATTTTTCTTTTCTTCCTTTTTGATTTGGATGGTATTTCCCCTACATCTATCCACATTATGCATTTCCAACTTCTTCCATTAAGGTCCTTTGTGTTTGTATCAAGATGTCAATCAGTTCCAGTCAAATTCAAGTTGTTTGTGCATTCAGGACTGGCCGCCCTGACTGTGTTGATGCTTTTAGGGCTGTAGATCCTAAGTATCTATTCCTAGAAGTATTATTTTGGCGTCCTGTGGAGACCCTGCTTCCAAATGTCTAATCTCACAGGAGCCACACAATAATGGTTTTGTAGAAACACAATGATGGGCCAAACCCCCACATTCCCTCACTTCACCACACATGCTTTTGGGGGGGCGTCAAGGGACCAAAGATGGCTCTGCTTCTTTGTTTTTTCAGCAATAGCAATGATGAAGCTGTGAAAAAAATGAGTAATAGCAAATGTGTCGCAAATAATGTGGTTTCTTTCCAGTTGCAAAGGTTTGTTCACATACTGGCTTTTTGTTTAGAGTTGGTACCGAAATAATACCGTATAATTAGACGTAGGGCCCAACCAATGTTTTTGTGGCTCTGGTATCGATTTTAGAGGCTAAAAGTTGCCGTAATTGGTAGTATCAGCTGACTTGATTTTATATTTATTTGTTAAATTTTAATGTTTTAGCTTATAGAGTTATTTTATAGTTTTATGTTTTAGTTAAACAGTGCTTTACTGTTTACTGAGTTCTCAGTTCTCTATCACATTTCATAAACTCAGACAAAAGAAAATCAGTCTTAAAGTTACAGTGGGTAAGATTTTGGACGTTTTAGAGAACTTTCTGGTGGAAATGTGCGATTGCACCCAACAAGCTTTTTTTGTTTGTTGGTTGTACTTCAAACTCGGTCAAAACTTGGTGAAGAATGTGAGTCAATTGTCTACTATTGTTGTCAGAGTAACGTTGATTTTGATCATTGATTTATAGCATTGAAACATTGAGCCAGACCCTCTTTTTGAGCCTTTTTGAGAGTTTTAAATGATTATTTCAGTGTACACATGATATTTGAACTTTTTTTCCCCAAATAAAAAGAAGAAGTGATGCTACTTTCATTTTTAGCCAGAAAAATCTTACATAGAGTTGCTTTAAACTGAGAGTGCCTCATTTTGGGCTGCACAACTGTCTAAGGCTTTGCCTTATTGGGGAGATCATGAGACTGAATTGACCAAAAAGGGTGCCAATTATAGCTGCGTTATCGGCAATATTATCTGCTTAGTACTGATAATAAATATTGGCAGATAACAAAATATACAGCTATTTTTTTATTTTATTTCTTTGGTTTCAGCTGCCTTAAGCACATGGCACACGGTCACATTAGGACTTGGCACTATGACAGTATTTATCACAATAAAATTTTCCAATCACATGTTGGGTAGGGTCAGTCCTTCGCGTTTAGTCCACTAAACAACTGCATGTTATTGCAAAGAGAGCATAATTAATCTTGGAGTTTGTGTAACGAAGTATGTGAAACCTCAAATAAAAATACTTTGTACTGTTTGAATTTGTAGTTTCTGAGGGTGTTTTTTAAATGTGGCTTACTGGCTCTTGTTTTTGTCTGTTAGACCATTTCAGATGTCAGGAAAAACATGTTGTGACATGGTGTCTTGTGAACGTTTCTTAAAGTAGTGTGATATTTTTCACAATACCGCCCACCTCACGTTTTCACATTTTCACATATTCTCTTTCATTTCTCCGTGTCTGCCTTGCAGCTTGAGTGCTGTTGCTGGCTGCTGTGGCTTTTTGACCTTGTGGGTTGTAAAATGTGCTCTAATGGTGCATGAGTTGGTTATCATGCTGCCTCTTCACTCACACTTGGCTCGTCCCCCATCTTTCATTTTTCCTCTGCAGCCAAACTGCCACACGACTGCGTCTTCTCAGTATTTTTTCCTTTTTGCTCTCTCCTGCTCACTCACTGACTCATTCTCTCTCGACTGCTCTCTTGTTCAGCCCTCTCTCTCTCTCTTTCTCTGTATGTCTCAGTCTCTCAGTTTCAGCTGAGCACAAACACAGACAGGACTTATGAATGAATGCATTAGTCAGCCGTGCTGTGCCATAGGGTGTTTGCTCAGCTGAGCTATATGAACTCGTCACTACTGTGCTGTCCGCCTTATTGATATGCTAGGTGATTA